CACACACCTGGCACAGTGAAATCACACTCTTGATTTTGAGAGGGCAGTTGAAAACAATCTCTATGCCAAAGCACCCATCATATGAGATTATAAAAATTAGATTTATGTCTTCATCTTCATTTCAGAATTTAAAAAGCTCGTTAGAGACATTAAATGCATTTCACTTTACAAGAAAATATTCCTTATGTCAGTCCTTTCACACACATACACGTGCATCCCTGAGACCAAATCCTGAAGGTCCAGGAACTTCAGTTGGAAGTCAATGTTTCAATGTGAGCTGAAGATGGTCTAGCATCTCTCATTCTTGCTTGGGTTTCTTGGAAAAATGATAGGCAAGTCCACAGATTTTTGGTTGTGCATATTTCCAATAACTTCCCAAATCAGATTCTAAGAGTCACCAAGGTTTTTTTGTTGTTGTTGTTTGATTTTTGCCTTTTTGCAACAGTTTTTGCTATAGGGTGCATGCGCTCACCAGAAAGACAGAGAGAGACAGAGATACAGAAAGCGAGAAATCACCCCCTCCCCCAGGGGGGATGGCCATGCCACAATCCTTTCTCCTCCATTCTCCTCTTGGGATCTTGGGTACGCACGCACACACGCCCGGCATGAGTTTAAGCCACGGGTCCAGGATTCGAACTGCTGTCAACTACGTGGGTGTCCGGCGACACAGCCATTATACCAGCTGCTGGTCCCCCAAGGTTTGTTTTTCACAGACTAAGACTAGCCCACTGCTAAAGGTACCAAGCTCTAATTCAGCACTTTCCTGAAGCTAGCTGCCAAGGCTTCCTGCCACACCTTCCTGGGCCAACCTTGAATCATCTGGAACCCCATAGGTACCTAGTGCGAATTTCCTGGAAGAAAGCTCTATTGTTCATTCATCAGCAGTAGCGTCTTCAGATGGTCTTAGTTTTCCACTACTCCTACTATTGCCATTGAATTAAAAATAAACATGAGAGAGCCAGTCCCATAGCCTAGTGGTGAAGGAAGCCAGATCCCATATGGCCTACTGTGGTTAGACTCTCAGCCCAGAGTCTTGATAAACATGCTAAGCATGTGTGCTTGTATGCTTGTGTGCCCCAAATCCTAACAGGATGAAGAAATGGAGGAGAAGGGATTGTGGCATGACCATGCCTCATTTGGTGGAGGGCTTAGGGGGGTGCTTTCTCCTTCTCCCTCTCTGACTTTTTGTCTCTTTCTGGAGAGCACATGTGCCCTCTGGCCATGACAAATATGTATTAATGTAAATCTTCATTATCACTTTAAGTTTTTGTGACTTTGGGCCTAACCAATGGGATTACAATGCATTTTATCTTGACCTTTTTTGGAACTAGAATTATGATGACTACATTTTATGGCACCTTGCTTTGTGGTTTCAATATGAGCTATCCATGCAGATGGATCCACAACCCCGGCTCCAAAGAAAGATGGCTTCTCAATGAATGACACTTAGTGGGTACCTCAGACTCCTTCTGCCTCGAAAGTCAGGAATGTATAGGTGGGTCATGGAATGAGCTGAGTCTTCCTGAGTAGACTGTAACCAAAACAGTCGGGTTCAAGGATAGGAAGCCATTTTCTCAACAGGGTGTTGTTACATAGGCTGTCAAAACTCAGCACTCTGCACTTATAAGCTGTACATTTACTGTATTTATTGAATGTAAATTATATCTCAATTAAAAAAATAAACTAATAAAAACAAGTATATGAGGCCAGAGAAGATGACTAGGGTTTTTTCGAGAGTGAATGGTCTTCATGGAGACGAAAGATAAGACTTAAGAATGGGGAGGAGGTCCAGCGAAGAATGCCTCTCCTCACTGTAATAACAAGGAAATGTCAGACAAACCTGGAAGAGGAACACGCCATTAGCAAGAAGTGGGCACTGTACTCACAGTAAATGTCAGTGTCATAGAAAACAAAGAAAGGCTATGGAAACGTTCCAGATTAGAGTGGATCCTGTACTGAAGGAGGAAAACTTCGTAAAAGACATCCTGAGATCGAATGACAATTTGATTATAGAGAGTAGATTAAAGTATCGCCAATGAGTGTATTAAGCTGATAACGCTCCTATAGTGATGTCAGACAAGATCCCTACTCTTAGGAATTACATGACAAAGACTTTAGGGGTAAAGAGCTGAATGCGTGTAACTTGCCCTGAAATAGTTCAGGAAATAAAATGACATATGTACGTATGTGTGGAAAAAATAGTGTACATGAAAGAATTTCCTTATTGCTTGCCTTGGGTGAAAAAGAGAAAAAGGCCAGGTTTGGTTCTTGTTTAGGTCCTGTTGGCAAAGCCAGTTCAAAGTTTGACAGGTGTTTTTCCAACATCTGCACTTCCACGCAAGGAGGCTTTTATCAGGACACTGTTCTTCAATCAGTAACTTCTGACAGCCACATCAGGGCCAGAGCTGAGTCAGGAAAACCTTGACTTGTGGGTCAGGTCACTATTACCTGGGGATGAAGAAAGCCCAGGTAGGATGGACCCTGGGCCAATGATATCTATTCAGCCAAATCGTATCCACGTAATTAAGTGAGAAGAGAGGAGAGAGGAGGCAGAGAGAATGCACGAACAGTAACCAAATGAAGTTCAAAAGTGAATTCAGGTCAAGGTCATATATGGACTTTCTTTACACTATTTTGCTTTTCATGCTTTTTAAAAATTTGGAATTATTTCCAGACGTTTAGAAAAAACACTGGGGAGGAGGGACCTGGAAGAAGTTCGTTGTACTGCATAGTGTAAACGCATTCGTTCAGATTTATGTCAGCATCCTGGTGCTAGTAGTCACCATGACAATTATATTGCTTTAATAGTCATAAAAGGGCAATTCTCATGCAATAAAAGCTAGATTGCTTATGTTACAAACATGGGAGAATGCAAGAGAATTTCCTTATTGCTTACCCTGAAGAGAAAATGAAAAAAGCATACGATTTTGTTGACAAGGCAAGTTGGAGTTTTGGCAAGCATTTTTCCAATACCCACCCTCCAAACGGGCAGACAGTCACCGAGTCACTTTCTTTCAATTAGTAACTCCTGCACATCATACCCAAAGTTGATTGATGGAAACCTTGACTCCTGAGTCAGGTCGTTGTTACCTAGAGATGAAAGAGACCCAGGCAAAGCTGATATATGCTGCGACAATGACATCAATTCTATCTAATAGTAAAGTATCAGGTGACGACCCAGGCATTATCATCTTCTTGGAAGAAGAAGAGGTTAGTCTAGTGACCTCTTCTTGGTTTTCAAAGGTCACAGCATCTGGTCTTGCGCTAAACTTAGAAGGGCTCTGAACCCCCAAAAGTGGCGATCACCATGTTTACCTCCTACCGGATTTGCTCAAGAAGCAGGGAGTGGGGCTCAGCCTCCTCCCTACAGCGGGGTTAGGGATTTCCTCCTTTCCCCACATGCGCATGGAAACATGGCAGGAGTTGGCTCCAGCACATTTCTCAAGCAGAGAGACCTCCCCCAACCTCACCTACTTCTGGGATGAGCTGAAGCTCAGGTTGCCCTTTACCCCCAATCCAGTTTGGACTGGGTGTCGCAAAGCTGAATGCCGGATCCTAACCTTTTACCTCACAACAGTGGGACTGTTTGGGGTCCTGGAAGTTCAACTGCATATTGAATCTGATCTACTGTTTGCCAGCATCTGTCAAACCAAACTGGGACATCGCGTGCAGGGAATTAAGCTCGGGTAGCAAAATAGGCTTTTGTGGCCACAGACAAACTTCATCTGCTTCTTCCTTGATCGGGTCACAGTAGTCCTTGATAAATAAAACTAATATATATTTATAAATTATGTATATATAATTAAATATAATATATGCATATATTTAATTTTATTTATTTATTATCCTTTTTTTAAAAAAATTTTTCTATAGGGCATGTCTGCTCACCAGAGAGAGACAGACAGAGAGAGAGAGAGAAAGCAAGAAAGCAAGACACCAGGTCCAGGACTCAAACCGCAGTCGGCAATGTGGGAGTCCAGCATCTTAACTGCTACACTAGTTGGGTTCCCCACATTAGTTTTTCGAGAAGGGCAGGTTGAGAACAAAAGTCCGCTTGTCCACTTTATCCGTGCTGAGACTGGGAGGTCTCTCTGGCTCTGAGTCAGAGTGGTGATGAAGGGTGCAGAGGCAACACGAGCGTCAGAGAGCGATAGGGTGGCAGGTGGCAGAAGGAGACGGTCTGCTGGCTACATGAACCCCTAGAAGAAGCCACAGATAAAAACAACCCAGGACCTTTGGACATAGACTCTCCAAGGTCAGACAAGGAGATAGCAGCCCTGGGCCCCTGGACTTGGAGGGCCTAAGGGCCTGGTGCTGCCCTACAGAAGTAGATCAGGCTGGAGGAAGTCAGTGAGAATACTCCCAGCCCTGACATCTGGAGGTCCTGCATCTAATTCATGCCACTGCCTCAGTCTCAGCAATCAGGATCCACTGATAACTGATTGAGCCTCTGTGCTGTTCCAGTCCCTGTGCTGAGCTGTTTGCTACCTTACTCCACTCATGACAGCCGGTCCCTCCTTTAAAGAAAAGGAAACAGGCTGAAGATGCTGACCTGCCTAAGTCAAAATGTTTGTAAATGTTGCCTCTAAACCTCAATACTTTTGGGGCACACTGTGCATAGGTATGTATGCACACACAGCATGTTTGATTGTTTCCAACCTCTACTTCAAGAAAGGGCTTAGTGTACCCTAACGTAATTGATCCTAGGCATTCTGCAGTCATGTCTGCTTAGACAAACAGAGTTATGCTGGGTACCTTACAGCAGCGGGTGCTCTATCACCTGGCTGGGCTTGCCCCCAGTCTGGCTGTGCATATTGGCAGGGGTTCCTTGCTGGGACTCCCAAATCCTGGGAGCTGCCAAGAAAGTGAGAAGGTTTGATAAAAAACCAATGGGCCACAGAAGCAGGGACTGTCAGTGGGCTGGGCAGGTGCCAGTGCCAGGGAATGGCCAGTCTTGTTCCTCCTAGGGCACTCATCATCTTCTCCCCCTGTCTTTGCAGCCAACCTCGGTTTGAAGCCCAGGGTGACTGCTCTTGGGGAGCAGCCAGCATACCAGGGACCCGTGCACTGCATTGCAACCATCGTGAAGAATGAGGGCCTGGCGGGGCTCTACCGCGGGGCCAGTGCCATGCTGCTGAGGGACGTCCCTGGCTATTGCCTCTACTTTATACCCTACATATTTCTGAGTGAGTGGATTACGCCTGAGGCCTGCACAGCACCCAGCCCCTGCGCCGTGTGGCTGGCGGGCGGCATGGCAGGTAAGAGCAGAACCTGAATGCCACCTCTTGGCCAGCCACTGCAGTGGAAAAGCTGGAGAGACTGTCACGCCCTTCTCAGCCCCAGGAGGACAGGACTCAGGGGCCACTCAGCCCCAGGAGGACATGACTCAGGGGCCACTCAGCCAATAATCCTTGGTTAAATGTTTACTCTGTGCCAGGTCTAGCTGAGCAAGGCAAGGGCTTGGAACGGGGAATGACCCCTCATTCCCTCACCCCCTTCCCTGTGGAGCTGCGGGAATGGCAGTCCCTGTGGGGATTCGTTTAACTTTCAGCCCAAAGGGCACTTTGCATCAGGTATTACTGAGCTTTGGAAAGGAAGGTCGTTAGCATAGTTAGTCTTTATAGAATATTAGCACACTGCAAACCTTTCTGATGTGAGGATTTTATTAGTTCTTCCTTGATCTGTAAGGAAGGACTCAATCTCCCCATTTTACAGATGAGGAAACTCAGGCTCAAAGAGGTTAAGTAATCCTCCCAAGGTCATACAGCTAGTGCAGGCACAGTAGCAGTAACTCTGCAGTCAGAAAGATCCAGTTGAAGTTCAAATCCATGCTTATCCATTTTGTGATCATGGACTGGCTCCTTCCTTCCTTCCTTTCTTCCTTCCTTCCTTCCTTCCTTCCTTCCTTCCTTCCTTCCTTCCTTCTTTTCTTTTTCTTCCATTCTTCCTTCCTTCCTCTCTTTCTCTTTCTTTCTTCCTTTCTTTCTTTCCTTCTTTCTTTCTTCTTTCTTCTTTCTTTCTTCTTTTAGAGACTTTTTTTTTTTGCTACAGGATGCATGTGCTTGCTGGAGAGACAGACAGAGATAGAGAGACGGGAAGTGAGAAATCACCACATTGCAATTACCACATTGCAGTCTCTTCTCCTCCATTCTCTTCTCAGGATTTTGGGCACCCACGCACACATGCCAAACATGAGTTTCAATCTGCTGGGTCCAGGACTCGAACTGTGGTCAGCCATGCGGGAGTCCAGTAACGTAATCATTACACCATCTGCTGGTTCCTGGACTGATTTCTTAGCCTTTCTGCACCAAACTTACACCACAAGTCCATTTTATTTAGTGTAAACAGGCCCTCTGTGATCTGGCTGTCCAGCGTTGGGCCTCATGCTCCACTCTTCTTCCTATGTTCACGCTGCTCCAGCCGCACTGGTCTCTTCCAGGGGACTTGGCCATGCTCAGCTTCCCCCACCGTGTGGCCCTGTATTTGCCATTCACGCTGCTTGGATTTAGTAGTGTGGGGGCCACTGGGCACTTCAACACGAGTCATTTGGTGGAGAGAAGTACATAAAAACCTGATCAAAGGGACCAGCAGACAGCAGCTGTACTCCCACATGGTCAACCATGGTTCGAGTCCCAGACCCAGCAGTTTAAAACTCATGCCAGGCATGCCCCAAGTCCCAAGAGGAAAATGGAAGAAAAGGGACTGCAGTATAGCCATCTGCCAGGTGGGTGATTTCTCACTTTCTGTCTCTCTGTCTGTCTATCCGATGAGTACACATGCCCTATAGCAATAATCTCTGAAAAAATTAAAAATCTGATCAAAGCAGATCAAGAGAAAATGATATCAAAGAAATCAGAGGGCCCAGGTACACACAGCTCCTCTGAGGGATTTTGCTGGGCTGTGATGGAGAACGGACAACTGGAGCTAGCACCAGAGGGGCTTACGGAAGTAAACAGAGGAGTGCTTCTCCACAAGGCTGGTGTGACATGTTAGATGCCAATGGCAAGATCTGACAGAGAGCAGAAAATCACTACCTCCCCCCATAGCATGTCTCGGCCATCAGGCAACACATTCTCTCTCCACCCCCATATATCTGGGCCTCGCCCATGCCTGCCCCCTGCAAAGAGCTCAGCAAGTCCCGCCTGGCCAAAAGGACGGCAGGGCCCCATCTGCTCTCACTTCTGTTGAGACCAGGTGTGAATGACCTGGCAGGGAAACCTTCACTCTGTGATGCCCTCACCCGCACGCTGAGTGCCAAGGAAGTGCACCAGCGCAGCACCCGGGGGAGCAGCCCGTTCTCCTGGCAGAAGGTAGGAGGGAGTTGCAATCCACGGGGCGGGGGTGGGGGGCTCGCAGAGGGCCACAGGCAGGAGGCTGAGGGCATGGCAGCTGGGATGGGCAGAAGGCCAGGGCAGGCTAAGGTCTCTGAAGAGCCGCTGGACAGCAGCTACAAAACCTTGCACACCAGCTGCCCTGGACTTTGACATCCATGTGTTTTTCCCTCCCCACCCAAGAACGTGCCAATTCCTGTGTTTATACAATAACCTGGCATTGTCTTCGTAGAGTCCTTTAAAATCACAAAAATGCTCAAACTAGGGCACTTGAGTTTATCTGGTGAGGATGACCCAGTGGCATGTGGTCCCAAGGCTTCCATTTCACATTTTTGGGAAAGAAAAGAGATTTGTAAACAAACCCATCCCCACTCTTTATTGGCAGTCCCTCGGCTGGCCCTTCCTGGGGGAGCAGCCTGTCTGTTTGTTTAGCTTCTCCGTGTTCAGAGGAAATCCTGCCTCTAGGGAGCTGCAAAGGCCTCAGGCCTCAGGCCTCACCCATGCTGCAAAGCCTGGCGGGACCTGGTACTGCTTCTCCGGTCAAAGTTGGAATAAGGTCGCCGTGTACTGAGTCCTGGCTGTGGACTCAACCCTGCACAGCAACCCCATGAAAATAGGTTATGCAGCCCCATTTTCCAGACAAGGAGCCCAAGGCCTATAGGCAGTAGAGACTTCTTTTGAGTCCCCACAGAGTGGCAAGGGAGGATCACAACCAGACATGGCAGGTTCTAACCCTGCACTTCCTCCACCTGCCTCAGCAGCCTCTTGATTTTGTGAATGGCAGAAATCCGCAGGGAGTTGGGCCTCTCTAGGTCCCAAGCAACCAGCCCCTGACGCCCAGTGGTCTCTCTTTCTTTGCAGGAGCAATTTCTTGGGGGACAGCGACTCCTATGGATGTCGTGAAAAGTCGACTCCAAGCTGACGGCGTGTATTTAAACAAATACAAAGGTGTCCTAGACTGTATCTCCCAGAGTTACCAGAAGGAAGGTCTGAAAGTAAGCCCCACAGCAGTCATGCGGGGTCAGTGGTGGTCCCTGGAAGGTGGTTCAGACCTTTGGGAGGGGGTGGGAGTCGGGAGACTGAGGCTCTGGCTACAGAGTGAGTAGGTGCTGCACCCGTGCCCCACCCCACCCCCAGGTTGTCTTATCCGGCCCTTGCCCCTGAAGAGACAAGGCCCGCTCTGATAAAGCCAGATACTAGTGAGCCAAGAGTGGGACGGGGTCTCAAGGCTACCCTAGTAGAAGTGCAGTGAGTAGGGCACAAGAGGTGGAAGCCTCTGGCCTGATCAGACAGAAGTTGAAATGTTGTGGGACCAGCAGTTATCGTAATGGCTATGTCGCTGGACTCCCATGTAGCCCACTATGGTTCGAGTCCCAGACCCAGTGGCTTAAACTCACGCTCGGCGCATGGGTGTGTGTGCAGAAATCCGCAGGGAGTTGGGCCTCTCTAGGTCCCAAGCAACCAGCCCCTGACGCCCAGTGGTCTCTCTTTCTTTGCAGGAGCAATTTCTTGGGGGACAGCGACTCCTATGGATGTCGTGAAAAGTCGACTCCAAGCTGACGGCGTGTATTTAAACAAATACAAAGGTGTCCTAGACTGTATCTCCCAGAGTTACCAGAAGGAAGGTCTGAAAGTAAGCCCCACAGCAGTCATGCGGGGTCAGTGGTGGTCCCTGGAAGGTGGTTCAGACCTTTGGGAGGGGGTGGGAGTCGGGAGACTGAGGCTCTGGCTACAGAGTGAGTAGGTGCTGCACCCGTGCCCCACCCCACCCCCAGGTTGTCTTATCCGGCCCTTGCCCCTGAAGAGACAAGGCCCGCTCTGATAAAGCCAGATACTAGTGAGCCAAGAGTGGGACGGGGTCTCAAGGCTACCCTAGTAGAAGTGCAGTGAGTAGGGCACAAGAGGTGGAAGCCTCTGGCCTGATCAGACAGAAGTTGAAATGTTGTGGGACCAGCAGTTATCGTAATGGCTATGTCGCTGGACTCCCATGTAGCCCACTATGGTTCGAGTCCCAGACCCAGTGGCTTAAACTCACGCTGGGCGCATGTGTGTGCGTGCCCAAGATCCCAGGAGGAGAATGGAGGAGAAGGGATTGCAGTGTGGCTATTCCCCCTGGGCGGGGGGGTGATTTTTTGCTTTCTGTCTCTGTCTCTCTCTTTCTGGCGAGTGCATGAGCCCTATAGCAAAAACCCCTCCAAAAAAAAGAGAAAGAAGTTGGAATGTTGCGCCTGCCTCTGGGCACTGGGACAAATCATGGACGACTGGAAACCAGGGTGAGAAGTGCCATTATGGGGAGTGTTGGGTGCACAGTGGACAGGCTAGACAGCTTGACTGCAGTCCCGGTCCGGGGAGCATTTCAGGCAGAAGGGGCCAGGAGAAGCTCAAAGGTGGGAGAAAGCTGGTCCCCTAGAGAAACAACAAGCTGAGTGCCTGGCAAGTGTAAGCAGCAGCCCAGAGAACCTGAAGGGCCAGAGCGTGTGGGTCCTCGCAGGCCAGGGAAGAGTGTGGACTTGGCCCTGGGTGGTGAGGTGAGACTTCAGGGGCAGGGACTCAGTCTGGAAACTGTAGCTCTGCAAGCTTGGGGGTGAAAGCTGGCTACACGTGCCCCCGTGGGCCTCAACAGGGCAGCCATATCCTAGAGGGAGGACTATCTCTCTGTGTGAGATGGCCCATGATTCTGGCCGGGACTGTGAGACAGGAGGGGGTCCCACTCCAAGCTGGACCTTCAGTCTAGACAGCCTAGACAGAAGACTGGGCGTCAATGCCAAAGCATGTGCCCAAAGCCTGGACACTGGGCCTGTGCTTAGTGTAAGAAGATACGACAGAACAGGACTTCATTTCTACGTTTATGTGTTAAGGCTGGATAAACTCAGAGCTTTTCTGTTCTCATTATTTTTAGGTCATTTTTGTTCTTTTTAAAAAAAGAGCTGTTCCATCAGAAGGATGACACCCAAGTACAGCCTCAGTTGTCTTTTGTGTTTGTTTTTTCTTTTTTTTAAACAGAAGCTCAGTTTGATTCAATCAACTAGTCCAAAAAAGACCCAAGAAGAGATTCAAATGGGATGCTCTGTTTCTATTTGAGATTTTTTTTGTCTTTCCCCCCAAATATTAATGGGTCACAATTGTAAAAAATTTATAGAGGCAAAATATATTGCATATTTCATCCAAAAACTACTGTTCTCTGTCTAAAAAAAAAAAATGCAATTCTAGATGGCAGCTGAGGACAGATGGTTAGTTTCTTCATCTCACTGGCATTTGGTCCATAGTACTTATTTGGAGATAGGTTTTAAGTAGCGATAGCAATACTCAGCTTGACCAACCACCTCATTAGACAGATGTTCCAAGATTAGCTTTCTCCAAATTAATTAGTTAAAAATAAATAATATGTGAACATTGGATGCTTCCAAAGGTAGAAGAGGCTTTACTGTTTCCATGTCCCTCCTGTAACCCCCAGAGCCCCCAGACCTCTCTCAAAGACAATTACCATTATGAGTTTCTTTTTTTTTTTTTTTTTTTTTTAGAGAGAGAGATTTTTTTTTGCTAGGGCACGTGCACTCTTCAAAGACAGAGAGAGACAGAAAATGAGAAATCATTCCCTGAGAGGGAATGGCCATGCCATAGTCCCTTGTACTCCATTCTCCTCTCAGGATCTGGGGCACGCACACACATCCAGCAATACAGCATGAGTTGTTTTGTTTGTTTGTTTGTTTGTTTTATCTCCAGGTCCAGTATTCGAACCATGGTCAACTACATGGGAGTCCAGCAACATAACCATAATGTCATCTGCTGGTCTCGATGATGAGTTTCTTATGATATCTTCCAAAAATACTCACATGTTACAAGCGTACATTGTATGTGTGTATGTGAGGGACTTCAAAAAGTTTGGGGGAAAGTGGAATTAAAGTATGAATTTATTTTGGTGCAAAAAAAAATTTGAAATCCTTGCATAGTTTTCTTTTATTATATACATTTTTTGTGAAATTTTGTACAGGCCCCTTCCTTTATGTTTGCAGATGTAAGTATTTGTATCTAAGCATAAAGTGCATGAAAATCAACCTCGTAATCCTGGCAAATCAGGCTATCACCAAGGCAGATTCCTAGGAGCAGCAGGAGGTAGAAGCCTGAGGAATAGTTCCAGGACCCAGTGCCCCGCTGTCTTACACTCTGGCTCCACAGAGTATGTCTTCCCAAGCAATGTTTTTTAGACTGGTTTTTGCTATAGGGCATGTATGCTTACCAGAGAAAGAGAGAGAGACAGAGACAAAAAGTGAGGAATCATCCCCTGGGGGGATGGCCACAGCTCAATCCCTTCTCTTCCATTCTCTCAGGATTTTGGGCTCACACACACACACACACACACAGAGAGAGAGAGAGAGAGAGAGAGACGCCTAGTGTTGAGTTTCAAGCCACCAAACCTAGGACTTGAATTATAGTCGGCCAGGTGGGAGTCCAGCAATGTAACCATTACACCATCTGCTGTTTCCGCCCAAATGTTTTTTCCTGAGGCTCAGTGAGGCAAAGCATAAAGCCCTGAGTGCATAACCAGCCCATCTGATCTCGTTTTCACATGGAAGAACTTAAAAAGGAGTAGGAGAGTCCAGCGACGTAACCATTACGTCATCTGCTGGTCCCCCAAAGAAGTCATTCTTAACTCACTTAAGAATTGCCAATAGAGGGATCAGGACATGGTGTAATGGTTATGTCGTTGGATCCCACATGGCTGACTGTGGTTCAATTCTCACACCCGGCGACTTGAAGCTCATGCTGGGTGTGTGAGTGCGTGTGTCCAAAATCCCAAAAGGAAAGTGGAGGAGAAAAGACTGTGGTGTGGCCATCCCCCCTGGGGGGTGATTTCTTGCTTTCTGTCCCTCTGGCAAGCACATGCACTCTATAGAAAAAAATCTCTCTTAAAAAAAAAAAAGAATTCTAAGTAGAGAAGCCTCTGTGGTGGGAGAAATCAAAAGTCCATGGACTCGTGGGACATCCCTGACGATAAACAGGAGAAAGGCTGGTAATTCGGGTCCGTTCTCTGGCTCCTGCTAGTGAAATAGCCTAAAACCAGGAGGCTGGAGAAATACCCCGTGTCCTCCAGCTGCACAGAGTGGCCGTTGTGGAGGGTCTGTGACAGTGCAGGGAGGCTGGAGGAAATGAAGGAACGCAGTTCTTGCAACCCCAGGGTCTGACGCCCTGCGCTTCTGCCCCTTGGAGGTCTGGAGCCCTCTCCCCACATCAGGAACCCCTGACTGCCCACCACCAGATCTCTTCCACTTCAGAAACTGATCCTTTCTCATGTCCAGGAGGTCACTAATTGATTTGTCCATGCGTTCATCCATCCATCCGTTGAGTCACTTAATAAGATAAGCTTTTCTAGAAGACTTTCTAGGCTCTGAGCCTACACCTGCAGGTCCTGGGGCTTCCACGGTCCTATGCTGACTGCCCTGCCGGGATTATACATGGAGGCAACAAGTCACCAGTGACTGGAAACCAGGGCGGAAAGTGCCATTATCAGGAGTGCTGGGTGGACAGAGGACAGGCAAGACGGCTTGACTGCAGGCCCAGTCTGGGGAGCTTTTCAGGCAGAGAAGCCCAGGAAGGGCTTGAAGGTGGGAGAAAGCTGGTCCCTCAGAGGAACAACAGGCTGAGAGCCTGCAGAGTCTAACAATCAGCTCAGAGAACCGGAAGGACCAGAGCACCTGGGTCCTTGCAGTCCAGGGAAGAGTGTAGACTTGACCCTGGGTGGTGAGGTAAGACTTCAGGTGAAGGACTCGGTCTAGAGGCCATAGTTTTGTAAACTTGGGGTGAAAGCTGGCAGGTCCACACGTGCCTCCATTGGCCTCACAGCAGAGCAGCCATGTCCTGGAGAGAAGTCGGTCTCTCTGTGTGAGACGGCCCATGATTCTGCAGGGACTGGGACTGTGCAACAGGAAGGGGTCCCACTCCAAGCTGACCTACCAGAGCAGCACCATGTCCAGGCTCACAGGGCAGCCTCTGAGCGCTCAGCCTGGCATTTCCCCTCTGAGCCTGACCCAGTTCCAGGCTGCCAGTCAGTCCCTCTGGGTAAGCCTGTGGAATTCTAGAAAGGTCAGACATGAGAGAGGAGCACTGTTACCAGGACCCCACTTGCTCACCTCCAGGGGTCCTGCTCCTGCCCTGGACCAAGCTGCAGCTTCACCTCCAGGGGCAGGCATCTCTCCTACAGGAAGGTCACCTGGCCTGCACCAATTCTGACACCACACTGCCCAGCAAGAGAGGAAACCAGAGAACATGAAGGGCTGGTTTCTGCTGTCTTAAAATGGCCAGTTGTTTCTTAAACTTGGTAAACTATATGAGAGTCAGACTTCTATCTTATGCCAGACAATCTCCGGTCATTTATGCTTGGAGGGAATTTCCTTTCAGGTTGGAGAGCCTTCCCAGAGAATGTTAGAGGCCAGCTACTCCCACCCGACCCCTCACCCCCTCACTTTGCGGGTGTGTTGTAATTGTTCCTGAGCGGGGCTTATCTGCCCTCACAGATATCAACTGCTCAGAGACTGGAACCACTTCACACTTAGCAGAGGCCACTCAGCACCACACGGGAAGATTCAGGGAGAAAAGGAAGACCTTGCGAAGTGTTTGGCAAGCATCTTATGACATTTTCTGGGGACGAATGCAGGAGTCCTGTTTCGGAAGGGCTGGGCTTAGCAACTCATCCTAAGGCAGTTCCTCCAGCACTCAGGCCATGGTCAGGTTGAGTCCTCCTCCCTCCCTGTTAGGTGGTGTCTGTCAGTCTTCCCTGTGGTAGCCGTGACGGGAACCGTCAGTTAGCAAGTGCTGGCCATCCGACAGGCACTGTGCGAGTGTTTTAAATAGACAGTCTGGTTTGTTCCCTCAGCCTTGGGTCACTGGTAGTATTATCCCCATTTCACCGTTGGGAAAATTGAATTCCCCAGAGTTTGCCACGCGCCCAGGTAGTGCAGCTACTAAACAGGGCAGCCGAACTTCATGTCTGCTGGCATAAACACACCTGGGTTCCACACTCTGCCTCTTTGGGGATGTCCTTGAAGAATCGTCACGGTGGCTGGCCAGAGCTGGGTGCTCTGTCCACTTAGGGCTTTCAGATTCCCAAGGAGCGAGTGTGTGCAGGTGTGCACACGTGAGGACAGAGGACAGTTAGGAATGTGCGCGTAGGTGTTTGCAGGGCCCAAACGTTTGCCTGTGGAATTGAGTGCATGAGAGAGAAAAGTGCATTAGACCTGGCACGGGTCCAAGTGGTCTCTGTCTGCACGGGCCGTGGGCTCTGGCTGGGGACAGGGGCCCGAGCGAGCAGCACTGCCAGGCATTTCTCTGCCCCTCGGCGGTGGCTCCAAGGCTGGCTCAGTGCCTGGTGATAATCAGCCTCCTGTGCACAGGTGTTTTTCAGAGGCATCACAGTGAACGCGGTGCGGGGCTTCCCCATGAGCGCAGCCATGTTCCTGGGGTACGAGCTGTCGCTGCAAGCCATCCGCGGGGACCAGGCGGTGACGAGCCCTTGAGTGCCAGGTCAGTGAGCTTGCTTCCAGCAGGCACGCCCCTGAAACCTGAACTATTTCTGTTTGTCATGAAAAGGTCAGGGCCTTCGGTAGCGTCCTTCTGTCACCGGTTCCAGGTCTAGTCAGTGGCTGCTACCCTTCTCATCAAATAGCAGTTCTGAAATGCCCGCCAGGGTCTGGCAGCGTGCTGGGTCGTGGACTGACATGTTCATTCAGTTCTCCTGCCCGTTTCCACTCGGCAGCCTTGACTGTGGCAGGGAAATGTGGTCAGTTACACTGTTAGCGACGCCTCCACCTCCACACCGAGGACTCCAACCACAGTGTCCTCCCCTGCCCACCACTGGCACTGTCATCCCACCTCCCTATGCGACCTCAGAGCTGCCAATGGCTACCCAAAGCCTGGAAGGACATTTCTCTGTCACCATTCCCTGCCTCCTGCATCCTCTTAGCTTTGCTTTCTCACTGCAGAAAGGTTACGGCACCCAGCGGGGTGGGGGTTTGGGGTGGTAGGGGTCTTCCAAAAAATAAAAAAGGAAAAAATCCCAGAAATCTGATCAAGTAATGCCCTTGCTCATATGCCCTCTGTGGCTCTCCATGTCCTTCTAAAGAAAACCTGTCCTTGTCACTGCCTCCTTCCCAGCCTCGATTTTCACCACCATCCCGATCACCCTGTCCTCTCTGTCACCCCGGAGTCTGTGCCCATGCCCCATCTGCTCCACCTGACACCTTCCTCTCACTCCTTTCCCATACGTCCTTGGCTTCACCAACTCCTGGCCATCCGGGCCTTGGGGTAGAAGTCTCCTCCTCTGGGACGCCTGCTCGCTTCTCAGCTGGGACACGCTGTGCCTGCTGGGGAGTCCCTTCCCCATCCCACACCCCACAACTGCCCGCTGATGCCTGTAGCCCCAGGGAGAGGGAAGGCCCAGTGGAGTGGCAGCTCCTATGCCACCTCTTCAGGGCTGCTGCCTCACTCAGAGCCTCGTACACGGTGGCCATTCAGGGACACCATCAGGTGGTGGGTGATCAGTCTCCTGGATACCTGGTCCCCTCAGCACCTGCTGTCTCCTCTTGTTTTTTCTCTATTTCTCCTTCTCTGGTCCCAAATTGGTTGCCTGCAAAGCTCAGAAGACACAGTGGGGTGAGTCACTGAACTTTCTAGTCAGGGAACAACCCATTCCACTCCAGGCTTGGTCGCTACAAAGTCTCCCAAGACAGATGGTCTTCGTCAGGACAGTCCAAGAACCTCATCGCTGCCCTCCTCATGGCCTGGCCAGGGAACATTAGGGCAGAGTGGCCGCTATGTCTGGCTGTGAGGCGTAGATGGAGCCGGATCCTAGAGGGAGGAGAGAGCGTGATTGGGCAGGCTGACCGCGGTGAGCCCAGAGCAAGCCCAGGATGCTGGCTTCAAATGAAAACACACTCGGGTTTTTAATACGGCACCCACAGTGACAGCTTTCCCGACTTTTTGCCTTTCTTATAACAGGTTAAGGGTATAACATATTTTGCATAATCGAGCACCTTGGGTGAAGAGTTATAACATTTGTGTGATGTCCAGCCAGGGCAGGGCAGGGAAGTTGTCATGAAGAAATCCCCAAATATCAGCCACTCTACCCTTTTAGGAGCTAAGAGTAACTTTTTAAAAATCCTATAACAGTGGGGCCAGCAGGGGGCGTGGTGGTTAAGGCACTGGACTCCCATGTGACCTAATGTGACCCAACTGTGGTTTGAGTCCCAGACCCAGCAGCTTGAAACTCACACCGGGCACGTGAACAAAAGTCTCTAAAAAAAAAAAAATTCCCGGACTAGTAGATGGCATAATGGTTATGTTGCTGGACTCCCACGTTGTCAACCACAGTTCAAGTCCCAGACCCAGTGGCTTAAAATTCACACCAGCCATTGCCAAAATCTCAAAAGGTGATGGGAGGAGAAGGGATTGCAGTGTGGCCATCCCCCTTGGGGGAGGGGGTGATTTCTCACTTTCTGTCTCTCTGTCTCCTTCTGTCTCTCTTGTGAGCACACAAGCCCTATAACAAAAATATCTCTCAAAAAATAAATCCTATAATAGGCTGAGCACATGGCCTGTAGTTAAAGTAACCATATCCCACCTGGCTGACCACAGTTCAATTCCTCGCCCCTGCAGCTCGAGAACCATGCCAGGTTCGTGTGCATGTATGCCCGGATCCTGACAGGACGGAAAAATGGAGAAGGGATTATAGTGTACAACAATCCCTCTGCTCTCTCGCTCTCTGGCATTGAAAAAAATTAAAATTAAAATATTACAATAAGATGTATGCATTTTATTGTAGGTTTTTTAATAGACAATATATATATAAAGAATAAAATAAAAATATCTGTAATTGGGACCAGCAGTTAGCGTAATGGCTATGTCGCTGAACTCCCATGTAACCGACCGCGGTTCAAGTCCTGAACCCAGTGGCTTAAACTCATGACGGGGGCGTGTGCATGCGTGCCCAAGATCCCGAGAGGAGAATGGAGGAGAAGGGAGTGCGGCATGGCCATCCCCTCTGGGGGGTGATTTCTCGCTTTCTGTCTCTCTATCTCTCTCTGACTTTCTGGCGAGCACACACTATAGCAAAAAAACCTCCCCCCCCCAAAAAAAAATCTGTAATCATAAGGCCTTGGTTTTCCCCTTCCCAGTGTTTTTCATGTGAATCCTACTCTATACAGTGTTTTACAACCCACTCTTCCCATGTCATAGTTTAGGACCATGTTTTTACATCATTCAGTCTTCAGCTGCAGGGCCAGCAGGTGGTGTAGTAGTTAAGGCATTGGACTCCCACATGAATGATCAGTTTGAGTCCCAGACCTGGCAGCTTGAAACTCATGCTGGGTGCGTGTGTGCACATGCCCAAAATCTTAGGAGGAGAAAGGATTGTGGTGTGGCCATCCTTCCTGTGAGGTGATTTCTCACTTTCTCTCTGTCTCTCTCTGGCGAGTGCATGTGCCCTGTGGCCAAAACCTTAAACTAAAAATAATTTAAAAAAAACAAAAACAAAAACAAAAACAACCTTCAGCTACAAAATGACTTCAGTGACAAGATCTCACAGTTCCCAGGGGAGCTAGATACTAGTCCTGCCTGCCTGTCCCTGGTGACTTGCTGGTGATTGGCTACCTTAGGAGGAAGGAGGAACTTTCTAGCAAGCCTAGTCATGGCAGTCTTTGATTTGGCTTTTCTGAGCAGTTGGTCACCCAAGTGGAAGCTTGCTTTCTGAAAGTGCTCTCTCTAGCATGGGGCTCGGATGTCTGTCCCTTGGGAAAGGGCACTGCTGCAGGGGACAGGAGGTGGCCTCCAGGTAAAAGCGGGCTTTCCAGTGACTGGTCTGGAGCCTCACCTCGAACAAGCCTTACTCAAGGCATTCAGCTTCCTGCTCTAAACCCAGAGCACCAGGCATGTTAACAAAACCTAGATTGGTTTTTTTTAAGAGAAATTTTTGCTATAGGGTGCATGTGCTCGCCAGAGACACACAGAGAGACAGAGAGAGAGAAGGTGAGAAATCACACCCGGGGTGGGGAGGGTCACTCCACAATCCCTTCTCCTCCATTCTCCTCTCGGGACCCTGGACATGCACACACACGTGCCCATCGGGAGTTGCAGGCTGCTAGGTTAGGGACTTGAACTGAGGTCGGCCATGTGGGAGTCCAGCACCTTAACTACTATGCCACCTGCTGGCCCCACAAAATCTGAATTTTATTTACCAGGTAGCTCTGAGAGTTGGGGTAGGTCATGCTCCAGGCAGCAGTTACACCCACTCCGACTGTAAACCAAAGCCTCCCTCAGGATCTAGGCCTAGACGGAGTGAGATGATGCCTATTAGAGCCCCAGGGAGCCCTGCGGCTCCTAAGAGGTGGGAAGGTGACTATCTCAAGAGTCCCTGGGCACAGGTGGTTCAATCTCGTCATTTCTGCCACCTGTGCCAGGGGATACAGGGGCTGGGGGCAGGGGAGCTTCAAGCAGCCTCAAGGTCCCTTCCAATGACCAGATCCAGGGTCTATGCCGCCCCCCCACCCAAAGTCCCACAGAGGGAGGACGATCACTTCCTTTTCATTTGCCCACTAAATTATTTCTCTCCAGGGCTACTCATAGCAGTGACCAGGAATAACTTGAAACATGGTAGATGCTGCGTGAGGCGGTGCCTCCTTACGTGGTTAGGAGAAGCCGGGACCAGACAACGATGTCCTTTGACAGTGGGAGTGGGATTCCAGTGACTGGGGCTGGTCTGAAGCTCCTGAATTCCACTGCGCCCCCCTCTCTGCCCACCAGGGCCTTGTCCCCAGAGCTTTCCTGGAATAACGCTGGCTTGCCCTCTGGCCGGACATGCACGCTCCGAACCTCCTCTGCCCACTTCCAGTTCAGGGAAGGGCAGATTCAGGGGAAGGGGCTGCATTGTCCCTGTGGGATTTTGTCTGAACACTCACACGTAACCCAGGCCTGGCTCATGGTGACACTTTGCCCATCGGTGCTTTACAAATGGGGCTGTCTGGCCCCCAGGTCTTGCTGAGGGTAACCTGGCTAGACGCTGTTCTCAGCTTGCCTCCTCCCCAGGGCCAGTGTCACCTGACTGAGGCCTCTGTCCATGCAGGCTGATGCTGAGGACAGCTCCAAGCCCGGCGGTAGTGCACTTACTGAAGAGAAAGGTGACTCCTCGTCCCAGCGGACTCTGCACTCGGTGGGCCTCCGCGGACTGCGCTGACCTCCAGGCCCTTCCTCCACAATTCAGCACTCTGCTCCTCACTCCTGCCCGGGCCACCACGCTGCTGTTTTGGGAGGAAGCAACGGGCCATTGGCACACGGATGGCCCCCTATTGCAGCTCAAGATTAGCCCCTGGTACCAGGCAGGGCCAAATGGACCCCGTTCCAGGACCATTATAAACACACCGGGAACTCACCAGGAGCAGGAGCAGGAACTGGCTCTGCATTCCAAATAAAAGCATTGCAAAGTTCTTCCGGTGGTTTCTACAATGTATCAGGTGCCTCTGCCCAGTGCCAGGCCGCCTTCGGACCACCTCTGTTTAGGCCCCTGTGGATGTCGACGCCCAGAGAACAGCCGACTCCATGCAGTGAGGAAAGACCCTGAGGATGGCTCACCCCTTCCCGATGCCTAAGGTCGGCAGGGGAGGGCCTGTGGGTTGAAGAGGGTGGCGGAGGAGGATGGGGAGAGAGAGCCTTGTAGGAGCGCTCCCCACTGGAGAAGTGGGCGGGGCAACAGGCTGCAGAAATGGTGGCCCTCAGCCTGGGTGGGGAGGGCATTCTCGACCTTATTTTCACATAGGGAACAAAACAAAACAAAATGCCATGCCCTCAGTCTGGTTTCCAGTGTGACCGCACTGTTCTGTATTCTTGTTTCCTCTAAGAGCCATGTGGGGAAGCCACTGCTATTTTGGTTTTCTGTGGCCTGAGTCCATGGTGTCGCTCCCAATTCCGTTCTCACGGCAAGCACCCTAATCAATCGCAGAGGCCTTTCTCTCGAAGAGCTGAATGTGGCTCAGAATTCCTTCTCAGCCCGGCGCCCTGGGTGGCCACCAGCAGGCAGTCAGGTCTGGCATTCAAGGCGTCTATTGGCTTAAGCCCCAGTGAGGGCGATGTCCTCACGTGCTCCTTCTCCTTGTGAGCGACTTCCTTGGTGTCCCCACTGCCCTGCTTCTGCCATCCCCCCAGCCTGCCTTTGAGTGATTTGAATTGTGTCTCTGAAAAGCTCCTGACCTAACAGACCTAAGACCAAAGCATTCCTCTGGCATAAAAACGTCGCAAGCGCTGGATCCTATCGGTTTACATGCTGCAACTGTAGCAGAGCGTTCCCTCCTCATATCAAGCCCTCCATTCGCATCCTCCAAGTTTCTCCTTCACAGCCGCTGGTACTGCAGGGTCTCCTGGGTGTCTCTGCAGGTGCAGTTCAATTGAATATAAAAATAATAAGGAATAATAATACTAATAATAAAAGAGGCTCTGCTGACAGGAGAAGCAGGCCTGCCTGTCCACTCCAGCGTCACTGAGCCTGGGCAGCACCGAGGATGCTGATGAGGAGAGGCTCCTGGCATCTAGCTCATCCCTGGGTAGACCCAAGCCTCTGCTGTAATGTGACCTAGTAGGTCATTGGGAAGGTCATGACATATTTTCTATGTTTCTCTATGCAAAAGTGTGTCCTGACTTTCCCAACAACCTAAGAACGTGTTTCTTTTTTTGGGGGGGGGGTGAGAGTATTTTTGCTATGGGGTGCGTGCGCTCGCCAGACAGACAGAGACAGAGAGACAGAAAGTGAGAAATCACCTCCCAGGGGGGATGGCCATGCCACAATCCCTTCTCCTCCATTCTCCTCTTGGGATCTTGGGCATGCACACACATGCGCCCAGTGTGAGTTTAAGCCACCGGGTCTGGGACTTGAACCGCGGTCGACTATGTGGGAGTCTAGCGACATAGCCATTACGCTAACTGCTGGTCCTAAGAACGTGTTTCTTAAGTCTGCCTCAAATACACTATTTCCTGGTGCTGGCCCCATTGCCCAGTTTGGTAGGGATGCTGAGTTTGTAAGACCAGCCCAGTCTTCTCTGAGATGCTCTTGATGAGGCCGAGGTTCAACCTTATTCAGGTGTCCGAGCCCTTCCTAGGACCCCCTGATCATCTTGGCACATCCTGATAACAAGAAGATGTAAGCATTGCTGACTCACTTCCCAGATGAGAAGCGGAGACCTGGGTACCCGGGTGCCTGTGTGCATCTGGACCACCAAGTCCACCAGCTCATCTTCCTGCGGCTGCGGCGCCCCCTGCCTTTCAGCCCAGGGAACCTCCCAGCAGCGATGGTGATGACCACTTCGTGGTGTACGAGGGAGAAAGTTGTTGAGGCTCATGAGTATGGGGTTCTGCTTTCCATGAACCCTGCAGGGCTGCCCTTCCAAACTCACCTCCCATTGCTCTGCTCCAGGCTCCCTGTGCTCCACCCATGTCCCCCAGCCCTTCAGTGCCTGGCATGTAATAGGCATTCGATCATTTGTTCAAGGGATGACTGAGAGATCCAGTAACCCACTGGGCCAGCTGCTATCTGCCCACGCCCTGCAGGATTCCCGACCTCAGTGGTCTTCCTTATCCTGGGCACCTTATTCCCACCTCCAGGAACAGAAGCGTTCCTGTTCTCCACGGCCCAGCTCAGCTGCTAGAATGAGGGCATCCTTTTCTCCATCTCTTTTGGCAACCGCCCTGCCCCTTCCCACACACAACTCCGGTGGCATCATGTCCACCTCGAGCTGGTCGTATCTGTACCTGCTCTTTCTGACGAGCCCGTGCCTCCCCTAAGAGCCAGGGCCGAGTCTTCCCCACTCCAGATAGTGCGGCAGCAATCAATCGTGGAAGTGTCTAGGAGAAAAGCAGAAACGCACGGGCAAAAAGGGAAGCATCGCAATGTGAACTGAGAATTGCTCGTGATAATGAAAAGTTGGAAACATTCTAAATGCTCATCAACAGAGGAGGTGGGTAAGTACATCGAGGTGCATCCATCTTCTAGCACAGCATGCAGTCAGGAAGGAGAATGAAAAATGTTATGGCAGCAATGGAGTAAGACCAACATGGACGAGCAAGATGCATGATGTTGTTCACTTTCTTTACAGAATACATATTAAATAATACATGCATGATGACATGGGCATTGGTGAGAGTCTGTAAGAAGACACACCGAGCTCAGTGGTGGCTGTTTCGGGGATATGGGACTGGGGGAAGGTGTTCCATTGCTGAATTGGTGACGATGACAATGTTGATTTCTCTCTGCAGCGCTAGAATGTTCCCATTTCTCTCTGTGAATATAAATTGATTTTACAGGTGTTTTTTTTTTTTTTTTAAATAAAAATATGTCTTTTGGAGAGCTGGGGTTCCATGCACCTCTTCTCAGGCTCCCAGCCGACTCTGCCTCCCTGCCCACTCTCAGCAAGGCCCTGTGTACCAGCCCTTTGCCTGCCCTGCCCCACCCTGCCTGGCCCACCTCCATGCTGGTTGGACAGGGCCTCCAGCACACTTCCATACCCCCTTCCCAAGAGCACTTGGGCTCAACTCTAATGAAGAAGCTCCAGCCCAGCCCAGACAAATGTTGAATGGTAGCTGATCCGGGAGGGGTCAGCCCTCTTTCTTTTAGGTTTTCCTGAGGAAGGTCATCCGAAATATTTGGGGCCAATGGCTCAGGGGCTTTCCGGAAACAGCCCATCATGGCCTTTCTCTCGTTCAGCCAGAAGCATACGTGTTGAGTCTAGCTTCAGACTGTGCTAGTCCTGGGTGGCAGCGGCAGGGACCCTGGCCGCAGAAAGCTTAGTATCATGCATTCACTTTTGTGTCATCATGAGTAGCTTTAAACAAATGGAACTCTTTTTAAGGCAGGCTGAAAATAGGGCCAGTCTGTGGCCTGGTGGTTAAGACAGCTGGATCCCACATGGCTAACCCGGCAGTTTGAGTCCCAGACTTGGCTGCTTGAAAGACACTCTGGGCACTTGTGCGTGCATGCCTAAAACCTCCAAAGGAGGGAAATTTGGAGAAACAGGGGTTATGACATAACCATGGCCCGTGGGGAGTGCTTTTTCCCCTCCCCCCATTCTGGTGAGTGCATGCACCTTCTGTCAAATATAAATAACTGATTATAAGAAAGAAAGAAAGAAAGAAAGAAAGAAAGAAAGAAAGAAAGAAAGAAAGAAAGAAAGAAAGAAAGAGGAAAACGAAATGAAATGTCAAGTCAAGCACAAGTGTTGGTACCTGGGTCCTGGCGTTGGAGGCTTTTTGACTTGACCTGACCTGGCCAGTTTGACTTACTGGGTGCAGCAGGAGGAATAGCAGCAGCCATTCCTCTGCAACAGTGACGCCTTCATTCCCAGCCACTACTGAATAAATAGAAAATCTCTTGCTTATCAATCTACATTCGCTAATGTTAAAACTGACCAATTTTTTTTACATGTTTGTTTACTTAAAGTATAATAATCAACACGTTACGTGTTAACATAAATAGCATAAAGATATAAAAATAATGATTCTAAACAAATGCAGTTGATGGGAGGAGTTGCATTGTCCTCCATGTTTGCTGCTTTCTGTAGCCTCTGGCTTAGGCGGCAGATGGATTCCCAGCTCTGCTTTCATTCTGTGTGATATCACTAGCCAGGTAGGCTTTGGAAAACTCCACTGCACACTTGTAGGAAAATGAGAAAGAAAGGGGCAGATAATACCTTAGTCTATGAACATGGTTTGGGGCCCCCTTCCAGGACCCTAGTACAAGGGCTGAGAATGGCTCCCTTGTCTGCTACTCTTCATAATCACCACTTGGTGGCAGCAAAGGTCAGCTAACGCCTCTGGAGCTCTCAGCCTGGTAGTGCTTGGCCTTGGTCCAGCCTTGAGAACATCTGGGCCCTGGGTCACTTCTCTTCCTGCTCCCTGGGTCTAACTTACTTCCTAGGTTGCTGTCCTTCTTCTCTGGGGTGGATAAAAACTTCAGACTGGGGAGACCGTCACTGTCGGTTCTGGTCCCTGTTTGGACCTTGGCTACCTGTGTGATCTTGGTAAACTTTTGCGCCCTCTGGGCCTCAGTTTCCTCGTCTGTAAAATGGTCACACTGACCTCCCTTACCTACCTTCCAGGGTTTCAGTAAAAGCAATGTAGTTTTGCTAATGTAAGTTGCAAACCCAGGGGTCGGAAAGAGACAGGGGGCATGGAGTAACCGCCATTTCTGCTCTCTGCCTGCCTTCCAGCCTGTGAGCCGGGGCTGTTTTTTTCAGGAGGCAGACACAGGGTGGTGGTGACAGAGTTCCTGGGCTTTGTTCTGCACGTAAAACCCTGAGAGCTAAAGAGCTCCTAGGCCTTAGACTTCCAAGGGGACATCCAATGAGCGTACGTGGGGCGAGGCAGACGAGATGCTGACCTGGGCCGGTGCTGCCGAGGAAACCTGGCCAGGCATTGATGCAAGTCCCCTGGGGGGCTGGCCTCC